CTTGTCAACCATCAACAGGGAGTTTGCAATTCAGTTAGCAAAACATCCCAATGTTGATGTCAGTGTGTATGTTCCAAGATGTAGCGAGGAGGACAGGAGAGCTGCCAGGAGCCATGATATTCAACTGATTGAAGCCCAAGAATTGCCAGGTCATGATCAGCCAGTGGATTGGTTGGCTTCTTTACCTGAAGGTCATCATCCGCACTGTGTCATAGGACATGGAGTGCATCTGGGTCGTCAGATACCACTCATTCAAAAGCAGCAACCCTGCAAGTGGATCCAGGTTGTTCACACAGCTCCAGAAGAACTTGGAATGTTCAAAAGTTATGAAGAAGCCATTTTCAGAGGTGAGAAGAAACATCGTGCAGAAGTAAAACTTTGTGAGTTGGCTGATGGGGTTGTTGCAATTGGACCAAAGCTGGCAGATGCTTACTCTCGCTACCTTCGCTCCAGTAAGAAAGATTTTCAAGTTTTCAATCTCACCCCAAGTATTTTTACTGAGTTTTGTCATGTTGAGCAGGCCACAGAAGAAGGGAAGAACTTTTGTGTTCTACTTTTTGGGCGTGGTGACCTTGAAGATTTTGAGCTGAAAGGATATGATGTTGCAGTGGAAGCAATTGCTCAATTGGATGACAAGTCATACCAGCTAAATTTCGTTGGGACACAGACAGGAAAAGAAGAAGAAGTGGCAAGAAAGTTGCTTGAATATGGCATTCCCCGTAGTCAATTAACTGTACGCTGCTTTAAAGAAGATCGAGAAGAGCTGGCCAGTTTATTCTGTGAGGCCGATCTCGCAATCATGCCTTCAAGAACTGAAGGTTTTGGTCTGACGGGGCTGGAAGCCTTATCTGCTGGTCTACCTGTTCTTATAAGTGGTAACTCTGGACTTGGAGAAGCATTGGAGGAAGTTCCTTTTGGTTCCCCATGTGTAGTTAATTCAGAAGATCCTAAAGAATGGGCCAATGCTATCAAAGTCATCCGTCAGAAAAAAAGGAAGGTGCGACTTGAAGAAGCCTTTTTACTTCGAAAAGAGTATGCAGCAAAGTACAGCTGGCAGAGACAGTGTCAAAGTCTTGTTGAGAAAATGGGGAATCTTGTATTCGGTGAGAGCTGGTTTATGTTTCTTCTTTAACCCATTTTTTTTATTCTATCATGGTGCAATTGATGCAAGTACAACAGCGACGTCTTCATGTGTACTTCAGGTCATTGCCTAAGATGTGCTCTTGTTTGTGTGATCAGTTACTGTACATTTACCATCTGCTTTTAAATCCTGTTGGAAATATTGATAGTTATTTTGAAATCAGGTTAGAGAGGTTCTTGATAAAGTATTCTGCATGTACACTTACAGATACCAGTACTTGTATGATAAGGCAAAATACAGTTTCCTCCTTAATTTATCAGTGAATAATTAGTAGCTGAAAGTAGAGAAGGCCGGATCAGATTTCTTAGTATTGCTTGTAGCATGCCATTGTTTCTCAAAGTAATGTATTTTTGCTTGTGGAACATTTACATGCACCTTATTTGAAATTTTTCATGTGGTTGTCTTTATGAAAATTATAACATGTTTTTCTGTCTGAAATTTATACTGTGTTATTCTTTTTGTTCATACATGTAGTTGATCCTGTCACTTCACAGTCCTCCGCAGCATTCAAAGAAAATGAATCCTTAACAAGCATAGCAGTTCAACGCAAAGGTAGACAACTTCCTCTTTCTAGATAGCTTATTGCGCTCCTTTAAACAGGAGCAGGATGACGGGGATGCAAAATAGATTGAGAAAGAATTTATTTTTTGAGTGAAAGGTTTAAATGATAACGATAAGCTCACAGTGCGTATTATGAATTGATGCATGTGACACAAGAAACTTTCACAATAATTTTAGACTAAATAACTCTTGAGAGGTGATTTGAGCGCTTGTTAAGTCCGTCACAGATATAAAAATGAGAAATATTTAATTATAATAATAGTAATAGAAGTCTTTATTAAGCACTGTAAACAACAAAAGTGTTTAGTTACAATGATATGAACTTAAGCAGATATAAAACTAATGAACTAACTAGATAACTAACTGACTAACTAACAAGAAAATAAACATTTGTACTTGCCTACTTAGCCTTGAAAGAATATCTCAGTGCTATTGGCAGGATGATGTTTAATTCTTGAAAACAATGATTTTGTTTGAGTTGAGTTTCTACAAAAAAAGTTATGATGAGGAAAATTCTTGATAGCCTTTCTGTATTATCTCTGCAAGTAGTTGGCCAACTGGCAGTGTTGATAGGAGCTATTTTTCTCAATGGAATGTATGGTTTTCTGTCAAATGGCTCTAAATCACCAGAAAAATTAAATTTCTTGGCCGTCTTTCTTATCATTACAAGACTATATGCATTACTGATGGCCTTTAATGAATTTACATAAATTATTGTAAATAGCAAAGAATGTTTTTTTTTTCTATATGTGAATAACGTCCATTTAATGAGAGACTACTTGAGTTATGGATAAGTCTAATTTATTTAAAAGAGCTGACGTGTGTGGAAATGGGTGTGGAAATTATACAATGATACAAGTTGTTCTTGGTATTCCAGTTATTTCATAACTCATTACTACATTGTGCGTAATCAGAAAAGTGTTGTTTGAGTGAAATAATTTGTCATTGAGGGGCATAAAGAGATTCATGAAATAAATTCCTCAGGAAACAAACAGAAATAGAAGTTACTCAAATATTAATAATTTAGGTGATAGTCATTAACTATATTTTACAACCGTAGATTGTTAAGTGCGGTTACACTTTTCTTTTCTAGATGCCGTAATAAACAAGTCCAGGCAAGCTTCAAATAGAGAGGTTAAACTGAGTTCGTCCTCTGTTGCCACTCAATCTGTGAAACGCCGTAAAGGTAAATTTCATCTAAATTCGTAAAACGCCATTGGTTGCAAATCCAGCGCTTTTTCAAAACTTTCCCCTATTTTTGCTACTAAAGAACAGCTGTATGAAGGCTTCATGAATCAAGCCTTCTTTCATCTTTGAAGGAGCCATCAGCTCTCTTGCCATGGAATTTGGTTGCCTTTGACTGTTGTTATTTCTGAAACAGACGTTTTGGCTAATGCTTAAGGCTTCATCAGTGATATGAAAAACGAAGATCGTTGTCAAGCGTTATTTAAAGTTAAAAACGTGACGCGAAGCTTGCGCGCTTAACTATGTATTTGATGCTCGCGCGAGGTCTGCATAGGCTTCTGGAAGTACGATGTGATCGTTCCCTGCATTCGGATCCAAAGTGGAGTGCCAGGCTTCAAGGAAAAGTCTTTCGTGGTAATTAGATTCGAAACCAACAACCCTGACGTTTGCAAAGTCCATGTTATGGTCGAAATGGTGGACATGGCTTGCGACTTTGGAGTTTAAGTCAAAACCTTTTTGTGCTCTGCAATTCTGGTCTTTAATGACCTTTCTGCTTGGCCGTAGTACTTAAAATTACACTGTGTACAATTGACTTGTACACCATGCCTGACTTCTGGCGTTCAGGTTCGTCTCGCTCCTTGGAAAAAGGCTGTTGATTATCTGTTGTGGTTTGTAGGCTACTTTGATCTTTTGTTGTTTCAAAATGCGACTTATTTTCTCAGAAACACCCTGTACATACGGTAGCACGACAAAGCCATTGAAGTTGGTCTGGGCGGGTTGTTTACGTAACACTCTCTCACAGTTCATTTTTAAACGATTAACGTCAATGTTTGATTGTATACATGTGCCTTCAAGAACGAAGTATGTGGTTTTGTTGCAGGTTCTGAGCATTGTCTAGTTGTGGAACACCTTCGAGATGAATACATCAGACGTTCCAATGTAAAACCACTGCTGTGGGATAGCAACATCCAACTGCCTATTGATGACGTTTACACCAGGTTGCAAATAAAATGGAGAAGGAAGGCTTATTTTCAGCTAACGGAGAAGGAGGTTCACATGTATGAAATTTTCAAGCCTGCTAAAGAGGGTGAAAAGGGCGCCAGAATGGTACTTGTAGAAGGAAACCCCGGGATTGGGAAGACCACATTTTGTCTTAAAATTGCCAGAGATTGGGCCAAAAAGTTAGTGCCGCGCGAGTTTCATTTCCCCGTGTTTCAGTTGTTGTTCCTTCTGAAGTGTTGTGACATTCACAAAGATACCAAAGACATAGTACAAGCTATTGAAGAGCAACTTCTCAATGATGACATGAAAAATAGAGAAGACTTTTTGGAGTACATTAGAGATGGCAAGAATCAGGATAAGATTCTTTTGATCCTGGATGGCCTTGATGAGTTACCAGAAGCATCGGTAAACGTCGTCGTTAAGCTCTTTAGAAGAAAAATTTTCTCACGCTGTTTCATTTTGGTCACCTCACGCGAAGAAAAGGGAATCGATCTCCGGCAGCGCTATGACTTTGATACACTTTTGCAGATTAAGGGGTTCACTTCGAAGGATGCTGCAGATTACATCAAGAAGCATTTTAAAAGCGTAGATCCACAAAATTTGTCAAAAGGCGAGAGGCTCATTCAAGCTGTTAAAGAAAACATTTACCTAGATGCGCTGAAGAATAATCCGTTGAATCTCCTTCTCTTGTGCGTTGTTTTTGAAGACTTTGATGGGGAACTACCATCTAATCGCACTAAGCTTTATCAGATTATATTTCGATGCTTGTTAAGGCGTTACTGCTCCCGAAATGGCCTGGACGTTCATCGAAATGCCGACAAAGCGCTAGAGAATCAATTTAAAGAGTCCATACTTGTGCTAGGGGAGTTAGCGTGGAAGTGTCTTCTAGAAGACCGCCGTTCGTTTTCGGAAGAAGAATTGGACAAGTTAGAACATTCGAGGACCCATGTGAGAAAATTTCCAGTGATCAAATTGGGCCTTGTTTTCATGGAAGCCAGTTCAAGGCCAAGTCAGGAGCCAAG